ATAGTAATCTTCTAATTATCATAATGCAGTAGATAATTGGCTCTCCCTAGAGGGCATTTAGCAATGTCTGGAGACATTTTTGTGTGCCACAGATGGTGTGGGAGAGGGAGGATGCAACAGGTATCTAGCGGGTAGAGGTCAGAGACGCTGCTAAACATCCTACAGTACACAAGACAGTTAGTCTCCCATAACAAGGTAATTGGCCTAAAATATCAGCCGTGCTGAGGTTGAGAAAACCTGTGGCAGTGACACATACTCATTCTAAAAATGTCTAATAGTACTCGCCTAATCCTTTGCACGGTTAAGTTTATGTATATTCTTCCAGACATTTTTCTCCTGATTATACTAACAAACATTGTTAGGCATATATTTTACAGAAATGAAATCAAATGTATATTCTACAGGTTACCTTTGTGACAGTATATGATATTCTTATTTCCATGTATTTTATGTATTCCATGTCATGCATACTAGCCATATAGTATTCCTTTGTTCATGGACATCAAGGACTGCTGGGTTATTTTGTAATTTTAAGTTAGAAACAATATCATGTCTAGATTTACTATACATATATCTTTGAGTAATTGCTCTGGGTCTTACTATTTTGGACCAAAGAACTAGGTTGCAGCCCTTGGCCAGGGATAATGTTGCTGTGGTGTCCTCTTCCCCGTGCTCTGGCCAGAGTGTGTTCATGTGTTTTTTCCATCTTACTTGCACATCGTTGAGATTGGTGATCATCATACAGCTCCATGATGTTCAGCTAGTGATGTGTTTTGGGTGGGTTGCTAGGTAGCATGAAAGATTTCAGAAAGAATAGATGCTGGTAGAAATGAAAAGCAGGTATCTTAGAATGAGAGAAAGTGTGAGTGAGTAGGTGTGTGTATGGCAGAGGGTGGGGTGAGGGGTGGAATGAGATAAAAAAAAACTGTAGTACTGATGTGTGTAGGGTGGTATCTGGACCCACCAATTTGAATTTTAGAGACATTTTTGAAAGAAAATGAGGTGACTAATTTCACACTTTCTATCCCAATTATCGCAACTGAAGAATTAATTGTTGTATTAGGTCATTCTTGCATTGCTATAAGGAAATAACTGAGGCTGGCTAGTTTATAAAGAAATCGGTCTAGTTGGCTCACAGTTTTGCAGGCTGTACGGGAAACGTGGCTCTGGTATCAGCTTTTGGCGAGGCCTCAGGAGGCTTTCAATTGTGGCAAAAGACGAAGTGGGAGCTAGCATTTCACATGCTGAAAGCAGAAGCAAGGGAGTGAGGTGGGGGGAGGTGCCATACACTTTAAGATGACCAGATCTCCTGTGAACATAGTGAGAGCTCACTCATCACCAAGGGGTGGCCCAAGCAATTCATGAGGGTTCTGCCCCAGTGATCCAAAGACCTCCTACCAGGCCCTGCCTCCAATATTGGGGATTATATTAATATTTCAACATGATATTTGAGCGGGGATAAATATACAAACCATATCGATTATCATATGTAAAATAAATACTTTTAAAGCTATTTAATATACCAGCTGTCTTAAATTATACTCTGAGGATTTCTGGGACTTGTAGATCCCCTCCATGAATTAGGTTCAGTGCCAGCCATATAGTGGGTGCTCAATAAATATTTGTAACCAGATTGAATTAAGAGGACAAGGAGAGTAGAAGGGCATGGGCTGAGAGGCCACTAGAGAGAAGCCCTGGGGGCTTCTGTATGTAAAATAACTCAAAGGAAAGCTCTTCTTTGAAAAAGGAGCTGGTTCCATTTCCATCCAGGTTTCAGTGAATGCCATTAATTCATTCTTTTTTATGGCTGAGTAATATTCTGGTGTGTGTGTGTGTGTGTGTGTGTACACACACACACACACACACACACCCCACAGATTATTTACCCACTTTTTGATTGATGGATATTTGGGTTGGTTCCACATTTTTGCAATTTTGAATTGTGCTGCTATAAACATGTGTGTGCACATATCTTTTTCATGAAATGCCTTCTTTTCCTCTGGGTAAATACCCAGTAGTGAGATTGCTGAATCAAATGGTAGTTCTGCTTTTAGTTCTTTAGAGAATCTTCACACTGTTTCTGTTATTCTAAGTGCAGTAACTCAGGAATGGATAACCAAACAACATATGTTGTCACTCATAAGTGGCAGCTAAGCTATAAGAATGCAGAGGCATAATAATTACACAGTGGACTTTAGGGACTCGGGGCAGGGGATAAAAGACCACAAATTGGGTTCAGTTTATACTGCTCAGGAGATGGGTGCATTAGAATCTCACACATCACCGCTAAAGAACTTACTTATGTAATCAAATACACCCGTTCCGCAGAAACCTGTGGAAATAAAGAGTTAAAAAATAAATAAAAATAAACTTAAAAAAAAGAAGGGGTAGGAAATGGTGAAGCATTCTCCTGTTTAAGGCTTGTGTGTTTTTGTGTCTACTAACTCTGTGCATATGTGTATTCTAAGACCCAGCTGTTCCACTCCACCGGGTACTGTCAACAGAAATGCATACATATATTTGGCAAAAGCCACAAACTCTTTTAAGAATATTCATAGAAGTAGCACTATTCATAAAAGCCCCAAACTGGAAACTACCCAAACCCCATTAGTAGTAGAATGGTTAAACAAATCATGTTTTTAAAAAAATCACTAATGATGGAATATTTCAAAACACAAAAGGGTATGAGAAAAAAAGTCATTGTAGTATCTACCTCTCAGATTTCACAGAGGTTAACATATTGCTGTATTTTGTCATTTTTTAGAGCATTTTTATTTTTGTTTTGTAATTTAAGAACTAGAACCTTCTGATGGTGGTGCTTAGCATTAGGGACAGGGTAGAGTCGGGTGAGTGATTTGAAGATCCTCCTGAAACACAAGTGTGGGCTGACCTGAGCTTCCACTGCAGCTCCTCCCTTGACACCGAACGAATTACCTGTCATGGGCACCTAAACCTGCACAGCCCAGTCCATGAGAACAGCCCCAGATAAGCTTCTGAAGTGCCGCAAATGAAATAGAAAGAAGCCATGCCTTTTCACTCCCCTGTTCTCTGAAAAATAAAACACCTTGCTGTGAAACCCCATCTCTAAGAAATATACAAAAAAATTAGCCAGGTATGGTGGCACACACCTGAAATCCCAGCTACTCAGGAGGCAGGAGAATTGCTTGAACCCGGGAGGCAGAAGTTGCAGTGAGCCGAGATCACGCTACTGCTCTCCAGCCTGGCAACAGAGAGAGACTCCATTAAAAAACAAAACAAAACAAAAAACACCTTGCTGTAGTGTCATTTAAAGACCCAATTAGCTGGACATGGTGGCACCTGCCTGTAATCCCAGCTACTCAGGAGGCTGAGGCAGGAGAATTGCCTGAACCCAGGAGGCGGAGGTTGTGGTGAGCCGAGATCGTGCCATTGCACTCCAGCCTGGGTAACAAGAGTGAAACTCTGTCTCAAAAAAAAAAAAAAGACCCAATGCCTTCTTTCATTCAAATGCTTGAAAAATCGGATTTTCCCAATAATATCATGAATGTTCTGATTGTGTTGATGTGAAAAGAGAATGAACAAGAATGGGGGTTGGTGTTTTCAGTGATTGCTGTAATTGTTAGCAAGGACGTATTCTCCCTTAACTTCTGCTCAGACAAGCTCAAAAGGATGAAAATAATCAAAGATTAACATTGTTGTGGGGATAACCTTGAGTCACTTTCATTTGTATTTGTATTAGAATAATCATTTGCAGGCCAGGTGCGGCGGCTCACACCTGTAATCCCAGTACTTTGGGAGGCTAAGTTGGGCAGGGATCACGTGAGCCCTGTAGTTGAAGACCAGCCTGGGCACTGTGGCAAAACCCCATCTCTACAAAAATACTAAAAAATTTATCTGGGCATTGTGGTGCATACCCGTGGTCGCAGGTACTTGGGAGGATCACCTGAGTTGGGGAGGTCGAGGCTAGAGTGACCCATGACTGTGCCAGTGTTCTCCAGCCTTGGTGACAGAGCAAGACCCTGTCTCAAAAAAAAAAAAAAAAAAAAAAAGAAAAGAAAGAAAAATAGAAGAATTGTTTACAACCTCCTTTAGCTAGTATTAGCAACAATGATTCGTTTCTGTGGCTCTTCTTGTGACTGACTCTCATGGGGCCGTAGTGAGACTGGTTCCCTTTACTGAGTGCTTGCTAAGTCAGTCACCTCAGTTGCTAAGGGCATAGTCATAAGTCCTGTGTGCATGTTATATTTCCTCCTTGTAGTAACCCAAGATGTAGGTGCTGTTACTGTCTCCATCTCCAGATGAGAAAACAGGCTTGAAGAAAGAGGTTAAATAAGTTGCCTAGGGTTACACCGTACACAGCAGAGCCATGATTCAAATCTCACTGTGACTGGCTCCAAAGCCTGTGTTCCTAACTAAACCATTCACTAAGTGAGGACCACTGGCTGTTGTTATTTTGGTTAACAGAACCATAGAGTAGGAGTTAAGTTTCTAGTTACGATTTGCTGAGCACTTTCCAGTCTTACCTGATTTGACTTCTGTATTCTGTTAGGTGAGGCAGGTGGGTGTGCTCCCATTTCACAGACAAGTCCAGACAAGTGGCGAGCTTGCCCAGGATCACACAGCTGATGTTGGGCTGGAAGTTGAATTAGGTTCTTTTGAAAAAACACCCCAGTTTTTTCCTTTGTGCTTCAGCTTGATCTCTGACCACCATGATTGAACTTCAGCCTCACATTTAGTTGTATGGTTAACTCTGTTTCCTCATCTTTTAAAAATAGGAGCAGTACTACCTGTCTAACTTGTCAGAGATTACAGAGGATTGGCTAGCCATGCTTTATGATATGAAGCAATACTTTTTGTTAAAGAGTTATTTAAAAGTCTTTATTTTGCTATTCTGGTAAATGTATGTGTTTGGTAACCCAAATGGAAGTTGAAGACTCTGAGACTTTTGCTGAATGTACTGTACTGAGTCGATGTTTTTCTAGAGTTGTAGCTAACACCAACCTGTTCTGGGTTGCTTTGAGGTTGCAGCTGCTCCCTGGTGGTTACCTGTGAAAGGTGCTAACTGGAGGCACCCAGAAGGGCCCGACTCTACTGTTCTGCACAGGTGAGCCTGGTCCCTCCTTCTCCAGTTGACATGTTCCATTCTAAAATAGATACCCTTTGCTCTTGCAAAATAACTCACTGGGCATCTTCATCTGTACAATGGTAAGAATGACAAACTCTACTTGATTGGTAGGAAAGTAATATGGCGGGAAATAACATATGTAAAGACCTAAACACTGCACCTCACTGATAAGAAGGTTCCTAATTAGTGGCCTCTTTCCTTCCTCATTTGGCCTGTCAAAGAGTTGCCTCTTCCAGGTTTCCCTGCTCCTTTTTTTTCTTTTTCTTTTTGAGACAGAGTCTTGCTCTATGTCCAGGCAGTGATGTGAGCTTGGCTTCCTGCAACCTCCATCTCCCGGGTTCAAGTGATTCTCCTACCTCAGCCTTCCGAGTAGCTGGGACTATAGATGTGTGCCACCATGCACAGCTACTTTTTGTATTTTTAGTAGAGATGGGGTTTTACCATGTTGGCCAGGATGGTCTCGAGGTCTTGACCTTGTGATCCACCCACCTTGGCCTCCCAAAGTGCTGGGATTACAGGCGTGAGCCACCGCACCCAGCCCTCCCTGCTCCTTTTGAGAGGCCTATTGCAAACCTCATGACATGTTTAATCTTTATACTCTGTTTCTGTTCTCTCTATAGTGGATCATTTTGAGGAAGAAGATGTCTGTCTTACGGATAAATAGTTGTGTCCCCTCAGGTTGCCACTGTAGAAGCCCAGGCCTTGGGTACAGGATGCACATGCTCTTTAGTCCTGGATTGGCATTCTTTGAAGCCACCATCTAACTGGAAAACTACAGAGAGCCAAGTCGGTCAGCAAGTCTCCAGGGTGGCAAAGAAATAATTATCTCAAGCAAAAATAGAGTAACACTTTACACCCTGGAGATGGAGCAGGGTTTGAGTTAGGAGTCAGCATCTCAGCAGCCCAAGAAACCTGCTCTTCTAACCTAATTTTTCAGTTGCAGTTTATAAGCCTCTATTTTTAACAACATTCCTGGTTATTGCCCTTATTGTCTGAGAGCTAGGAGTACAGGAAGTTCAGCTTTAGGGATAAAGCCCCTTGACAAATGTCAGACATCTTTCAAAGCCTGAGTTGGAAGTGTCTGTTGAAATTAGCCTTCAGGATGGAAAGTAAAGGATTCCTGGGCTCCTCAGGTGGACTTGGCGCCTTAGCTCCCAGTTAATATCTGCTTTGCTGAAATCAGTTACAGAGGGAAAAGCTAAAGGAGGAAGGAAAATCCAAAGGGGAATGTATGTTATTCATGCGGTCAACGCCAACTGGGTCGTTGGAAAGAGTACATCTCTCTTGTCTGTGCTAGAAACACTGACTGGCACATGATAGATACTCAGTAGATGTTTGTCGAAAGAATAAATGAAAGGCCTGGTGTAATTAATGTGGGGAATTTAAAGGTATGTAAGGAATGGACCAGGAATGTGTAGCCCACTTTTAAAAAAGTGAGCAGGGAATTCAACCAAAGCCATCTAGTGCTGTATGCATGAATCTATCCCCTTATTCTCTGCTTTTTTCCCAACCTTCCATACAGTTTATACCCTCAGGAAAAAAAGACTGGCCACCTATAGAGGAAAAGTAGAAAGACACAGAATTGAAAGCCAGGATCACAGGTTGGGTTCTCTGGAAACAGCTTAGATAGAGTTTGGGATGCAGAATGTTAGGTCCCCACAACTGAGGAAAGGAGGGGGCCAGAGCAGGACAGAGCAGAGGGAGAAGCCACAGCCACCATGCAGGCCCAGTGAAGTTCCAGACAACGCAGGGGGCTCTAGGGTGTATGTGGCCCATAGATTGAGCCACAGTAGGCTGAAATGGCTGGAGCTGTATGCCCCTGCTGTGGTCAGTTATGGGTGGCTCTGAGATGGCTCTCAGCTCTGCTAAACCCCAAAGGAGTCAGAAGCTTCTGCTGATGGACCCCCTAGCAGCTGGAGTATCTCCGCATCTGCCATACCAATGAAATTCTAGGGGAATCCAAGCCTACAAAGTGAAGAATTTTGAGTCTAGTTCCTAGTGGCAGTGTAACCCATTTGGGATACTGGAGTGTCAGAATCCCTGGGTGGAGGGTGACAGATGTAGCATGGCTAAGGTTTGACTTCAGGACCAGGATGACCTCAGCGTCACAGGTTGAGCTGGGAGGGATTATGAGCGTTTTGCTGAAGCCAGTTCCTGCTTCCTGTTCTGCTTTGTGCTACTTTTCACTCTATTTTTGCTCTTCCCCAGGCCAGATCATCCAGTTCTCCACGTCTCCTGGAATGATGCAGTTGCCTACTGCACGTGGGCAGGGAAGCGGCTGCCCACGGAAGCTGAGTGGGAATACAGCTGTCGAGGAGGCCTGAACAATAGGTAGGTAGAGGGTCTCATCTTGCCTGATAACATGTTGATCATTTAAACAAACAAACAACAAAAAACTCCATGGAACTTACTTTGGTTAGAAGGTTAATAACGACAATAATTCTTTTTCTTATTGATTTTTCCTCATCTCCACAAAATTACTTAGAAGACACTGGAGAATGGATTGGAAACCTTTTACTACCCTCAAACCCAGTGTCTGGCCATCTGGGCTCCCTCCAGTCCCAAAGCAAGTCCTAGCAGTTCAACCCCCCTGAGTTCCATATCACTGCTTAGAGCTTCTTGGCAGACTGCCTTGCTTTTAGCATTTTCTTATTTTAGGCATCTCCTGAAGCAGCGGTATTTCTCTGCTTCTAGAGCCATGAGACAGAAAACTCATGTTGGGTTCACATCTTCTAGGAAAACCTTCTTAAAATAGCCCAGGCTTTATAAAAAAGTATGGTGCGATGGTGCCTGATCACGCTACCATATAAGTCCAAAATGAGGTCTACTCTTTCAGCTTTCAATAAGTCCTTCTTTTAGTTTTGTGATTTATTTCAGGCATCCTGAGTACCTGGGCAAGACTGAGGCTGTTGTGAACTTGACATGAGAAGTTATAAGGAAATTAAAAAAAAAATCCTGATTAAAAGCTTTACTTATTTATATATATTTTAGAAAGGCTCACCCAGAACAAGTGAGCAGTGTTCTCTTTTTCATTGCGTCCCTTCTCTTGACTTTAATCCAAAACCTGTGCCTGTTTGACAGGCTGATGCCTGTGTCTCTTCTGACAGACTTTTCCCCTGGGGCAACAAACTGCAGCCCAAAGGCCAGCATTATGCCAACATTTGGCAGGGCGAGTTTCCGGTGACCAACACTGGCGAGGACGGCTTCCAAGGAACTGCGCCCGTGAGTAATGAGACCTCTGCGGGAGGGCAGCAGCTGCTGAGAACTGAGGCTCCCAGTAGACACGGGGCGAAAGGCGTTGCTCACTTTCTGACTCACATGGTGTTGCCTCTGTAGGTCCATCCACTGTTGCACATTGCGAATACTAATAATTCATCAGATGCTCTTTTTTATATAATGGATTTTCTTTTCTGATTCTGTAATACTTATTGTAGAATATTTGGAAAAACAGGAAGAGTGCAAAAGAGAAAGCTAAACTGACCTGGAGTTCTACCACCTAGAAATAACCGCCATTAGCATATTAGTGCATTTCTTCTCGTTCGTTCTCTGTGTTGACGATGCTAATGATGACTCGTAGTTATTGAGTTCTTGTAATGTGCCGGGCATAGTGCTAAGCCATTTGCATGAATTGTCTCATTTACTGTCCATTCAACTCTGTAAGGTAGGTGCTATTATCCCCATTTTCCAGGTGAGCATTCTGAGGCACAGAGAGGTTAACTAACTTGCCCAGGGTTACAAAGCTGGAAAGCGGCACAGCTGGGATTTGAACCAGGTCGGTTTGTTTCCAAAGCCCATGCTCTTAACTACCATATTTGCCAGCATATGTGTTTCCAGTGTATATGTATCATATTATTTTTACATAATGCATTAGGTCAGACTTGATACAGTACTTTAAATCCTACTATTTTTTCCTGCCTATATCAGAAACGTTTCATCTGTCATTAGCAGTATGCCACAAATACATTGTCCTTCAGCATCTGGAAATGAACCCTATTATGTAAATGAACCCTAATGTGTTTGCCAGAAACAGGTTATTTGTTTTTTGTTTTTTCTTTTTTTTTTTTTTTGAGATGGAGTTTCACTCTTGTTACCCAGGCTGGAGTGCAGTGGCGCGATCTCGGCTCACCGCAACCTCCGCCTCCTGGGTTCAGGCAATTCTCCTGCCTCAGCCCCCTGAGTAGCTGGGATTACAGGCACGTGCCACCATGCCCAGCTAATTTTTTGTATTTTTAGTAGAGGCGGGGTTTCACCATGTTGACCAGGATGGTCTCGATCTCCTCCTCGATCCACCCGCCTCGGCCTCCCAAAGTGCTGGGATTATAGGCTTGAAGCCACCGCGCCCAGCTATTTGTTTTTTCTGCAGTGAACATCTTGTACGTAAATATTAACCTGTACCTTTGATGATTTTTGAAAGATAGATTCCCAGCAGTGAAATAATTCAGTCAAAGGCTAGAAAACTTTCTTGGTGAGATTTTTAGATATATGGTCAAATTGTTTTCTAGAATGCTTAGGGCATGTTTTCCTCTATGGGTGTATACCATTCTTTTGCTGGCATAGTCATATACTCATAAAGCCATGTTAAAGAATGTCTTAGACCCTTTGTGCTACTGTAAGAAAATACCACAGACTGGATAATTTATAAACAACAGAAATTTATTTTTCACAGTTCTGGAGGCTGGGAAGTCCAAGACCAAAGCACCAGCATGATTGATGTTGGCTGCATCTGCCAGAAGGGACTAATGTTGTGGCCTCTCTGGCACAAGGCGGAAGAAAGGCAAAAGAGCACTCCCTTCAACCTTGAGCCATTTTATTTATTTATCTATTTTTGAAACATATTCTCACTCTGTCACCCAGGCTGTAGTGCAGTGGTGCAATCTCAGCTCACTGTAACTTCCGCTTCCCGGGTTCAAGCAATTCTCCCACCTCAGCCTCCCGAGTAGCTGGGACTATAGGTGCACACCACCACACCTGGATAATTTTGTTTTTAGTTGAGGTGGGGTTTCACCATGTTGGCCAGGCTTGTGTCAAACTCCTGACCTCGGGTGATCCTCCCACCTCAACCTCCCAAAGTGCTGGGATTACAGGTGTGAGCCACTGCACACAGCCCTTTGATGATTTTTTAAAGATAAATTCCCTGCAGTGAAATAATTCAGTCAAAGGCTAGAAAACTTTCTTGGTGAGTTTCAGATATATGGTTGAATTATTTTCTACAACGCTTGGGGCATGTTTTCCTCTAGGGGTGTGCAAGAGTTCCTTTGTCACCATTCTTTTGCTGGCATAATTATATACCCATAAAGTCATGTTAAAGACTGTCTTAGACCCTTTTTGCTGCTGTGACAAAATACCACAGACTAGATAATTTGTAAACAATAGACATTTACTTCTCAAAGCTCTTGAGGCTGGGAAGTCCAAAACCAAGGGACCAATATGATTGGGTTGGCTGTATCTGCTAGAGAAGACTAATGCTGTGTCCTCACTTGGCAGAAGGCAGAAGGGGAAAAGAGTACTCCCTTCAACCTTGAGCGCTTTTACAATGGTGCTATTCCCATTCATGATATAGTCACCCCTTCAGAGGCCATACTTGCATTTGGGAGTTAAATTAATCCTGCTGCAGGTAGGCACAGTGGTTCACTCGTGTAATCCCAGCACTTTGGGTGGCTGAGGCAGGTGGATTACTTGAGGTCAGGAGTTCGAGACCAGCCTGGCCAACATGGTGAAACCCTGTCTCTGCTAATAATATAAAAATTAGCCAGGTGTGGTGGCGGGGGTGGGGGCACCTGTAATCCCAGCTACTTGGGAGGCTGAGGTAAGAGAATCACTGGAACCCAGGAGACAGGGGTTGCAGTGAGCCGAGATTGTGCCACTGTACTCCAGCCTGGGTGACTAAGACTTTATCTCCAAAAAAAAAAAAAAAAAAAAAGTTAATCCTGTTGCATTGGGGATTAAGTCTCAATATGAATTTTTGAAGGGACACTATTATTCAAAGCATAGGAAAAACATTGCTATTTTTTTCTTCACACTGTGAGAAAAGAAATCTTGAGGTGGAGAACAAGATTTCTATTTTACTGTGTTTGTTGTTACAGAGAATAATTTTCTTTCATCAACCCTTCAGACAGTAATTATTTAAAAATATATTAGTCTTTTTGTTTCATGGAATAATCGTTCTTCCAAAATTTCTTTTTTTTTTTTTAGTGAGACAGAGTTTTGCTCCATCGCCTAGGCTGGAGTGCAGTAGCACCATCTTTACTCACTACAACCTCCACTTCCCGGGTTCAAGTGGTTCTTCGACCTCAGCCTCCTAAGTAGCTGGGATTATAGGCACCTGCTACCACACCCGCCTAGGGGTTTCATCATGTTGGCCAGGCTGGTCTCAAACTCCTGACCTCAAGTGATCCACCCACCTCAGCCTCCCAAAGTGCAGGGATCAAAATTTATTTCTAAATGTGACATAAATAGCTATTGGAAACATCATCAAGTGATACCAAGATTTAAACTGAAAAACCAAACAAGCAAGAGAGAAAGTAAGAGATTTTTGGAAAAGATGAAGAGCAAAGAGGCACTTGACCTAACAGAAGTGAAAAATTATTTTGGGCGATATTAGTTAAAGCATTATAGTTTTGGGACAGTCACAATGGCTCACGCCTATAATCCCAACACTTTGGGAGGCTGAGGCCGGTGGATCACGAGGTCAAGAGTTCAAGACCAGCCTGGCCAACATGATGAAACCCTTTCTCTACTAATAATATAAAAATTAGCTGGGCATGGTGGTGGGCACCTGTAGTCCCAGCTACGTGGGAGGCTGAGGAAGGAGAATTGCCTGAACCCAGGAGGTAGAGATTGCAGTGAGCCAAGATTGTGCCACTGCATTTCAGCCTGGGCGACAGAGTAAGATTCTGTATCAGATAAATGAATGAATAAATAAATAATTAAATCATTTATTAATATAAGAAATACATTGCATGAGAGTATCCCTTAAATATGTGAATGAGTGCATATATATATATATATAATTCCATATATGGGAGTTTCATATATAATAAACCAACACACACCCATGGGAAATGGGTGAATTATTTAGCAGTGGCAGGCAAATGAGTTATCAAACCTAGCAGCTCCGAAGTTTCCCTTAGAATGCGCTACTACTCCTGCAGGCAAACCATTTTATTCGATCAAGTGACTGATTAGAGGTCTTGGGGACGAAATGATCTCAGCCTTTCCTCAAACTTTAAATGGGTAGGAAGCCTAGCATGCTGGTGTGGAGTTGGGCATGGAATGAGGGTGCCCAGTGGGCTGCTTTTGGTCAGCAGAAGTGGCACTGCAGGATGCACGGAATATCAGTGAAGGTGCCTGCTGTGGATGCTCATTAGACCTCAGGAAAGGTGGTGGTGGTTACAGACAGCAGGACGGTGGCCATTAAAGTCAGAATCTGATAAGGAGTGTGTAACAACTGACCTGTGGATGCAACTAACCCGGAAAATGAATGGCACTGGACCACTGGCCCATATTTGGCCTTCTTAGGCAGTGGACACACTAGAGACACTGACAGAAAAACAGTCTTAGCCACCTGGATCCCCTCATGCTTGCTAGGCTGTGGCAGGCACGGCAGCTGCAGTAAAACTTGAAGCCTAGGTATGGGTCTGGGTGGAGCTGTGATGGAATTCTTAGTTGTCCTAGTAGCAAATATTCAAATAAGTGCTTTGAAAGCCAAAGTGCGGAAGGGTCCATGTGATCAACAGTTGAACAGGAGCAGTTGGTCCTGAAAGATAAGTGAGCTCCATCCCAAAGATACAGGTGATGGCCTTCGAGGCCCTCATTTGGACAAGCCTGTGATAGCCATTTCTTTCTTTCCTTTTTTTCTTTTTTTTCTTTAGAGATGGAATCTTGCTCTGTTGCCCAGGCTGGAGTGCAGTGGTATGATCTTGGCTCACTCCAACCTGCACACCCTGGGTTCAAGTGATTCTCTTGCCTCAGCCTCCCTATGACTACTAATTTTTGTATTTTTAGTAAAGATAGGGTATCGCCTTGTTGGCCAGCCTGGTCTCCAACTCCTAACCTCAGGTGATCTTCCCACCTTGGCCTCCCGAAGTGCTGGGATTACAGGCATGTGCCACCGTGTCTGGCCTGTGTTAAGCATTTTCGATGAACCAAGCAAATGATATAAGCACCTGTTCATTTTAGCAAAAGGCCTTGACAAGATTGTCTTGGATAGTTATGCCTATTTGACAGCACTTGGAGCTACAGAGTTTCTTTTCTGTTTAATTACACGGAAAAAGGAAAATAGAGCCATTTATTCTTCTAAAATCAGTGTACCTTTTCAGAAAACATGATGTTCGCTTTGAAGTAAGGATACTCTACAGATGTTTAGAATTGGAATATTTGACTGGAAGTTCAGCGTATGTGTAGGAAATTTACCTGAGGAAGCTGCCATGGAAGTTACTAAAACAAAATGAGAACATTTACTGGGAGCCCTAAAGGAACCAATTTGACAAACAGAGCTAGAGGAGAAAGCAAGCCAGCCAGCCAGCCAGAGACAGCTGCCATCTGTGTTTACAATGAGACTTAATGAGATCTCTATCTTATGGAAATTGTTTACCCGTAGGTTCTCAAGTCCACCTAAGCTGCTCTTTTGTGTCCACATGCTTTGGTCTGTTGGAACAGGATTTTAACTCTCATGATGAGTTGGACCATGCGGAAATAGCTCCCTGACTTGATATTTTATATATTTAGCATTTCAGGTCTGATTTTATTTATTTATATGAGACACGGTCCTGCACTGTCACCCAGGCTGGAGTGCAGTGGCATGATCACAGCTTACTGCAACCTCTGCCTCCTGGGCTCAAGGGATCCTTCCACCCAAGTCTCCCAAGTAGCTGGGACTACAGTGCACACCGCCTTGCCTGGCTAATTTTTAAAAAACTTTTTTTTTTTTTTTTTTTGTGCTGGGCGTGGTGGCTCATGCCTATAATCTCAACACTTTGGGAGGCCTAGGCGGGCAGATCACCAGGTCAGGAAATTGAGACCAGCCTGGCCAACATGGCGAAACCCCGTCTCTACTAAAAATACAAAAAAAGAAAAATTAGCTGGGCATAGGCGCAAGCCTGTAGTCCCAGCTACTTCGGAGACTGAGGCAGAATCACTTGAACCTGGGAGGCAGAGGTTGCAATGATCCAAGATGGGGCACTACACTCCAGCCTGAGTGACAAGAGCGAGACTTTGTCTAAAAAAAAATTTCTTTTTTTTTCTTTTGTGGAGATGGTGGCGGGGGGGGTCTCACTATGTTTCCCAGGTTGGTCTTGAACTCCTGGCCTCAAGCTATCCTTCTGCCTTAGCCTCCCAAAGTGCTGGGATTACTGGCATGAGCCACTGCACCCAGCTAGATCTGACCTTATACTGAGCAAGCTATTTTGACCACAGTGAGCCTAAAGAATTTACATTTTGCTATGCTGCTTGTTACCCAGTGATTAGTTTTGGCTTTAATGCATATCAGCTCATTCATCTGAAAATGTGCCAGAAGTATTCTCATATACATTTGTTTGCATTTAAGTTTCTTGAGAGGAAGCTTTGGTTAGTGGATTCGTTTAACAACAGGCAGTTAAAATTTGTATTTTCCTTAGTGGCATGCTCACCTATAGTAATTTTAGGGGTGGTAACCTCCACATTTTACCTTACTTGAACATCAAATTATTTAAGGTGGCTAAAGAAAAAAAAGTCCAAACCCTTGAATAGGTACTATTATTTTTCCTATTTTACAGACAAAATAGCACCTATATAGGTTAAGCTTGCCTAATGTTAGCTGTTAACTGTTGGCGTCACTAGGTCTGGTGGCTCATGCTTATAATCCCAGCACTTTGAGAGACTGAGATGAGAGGTTTGTTTGAGCTTAGGAATTCAAGACCAGCCTGGGCAACATGGGGAGACTGCATCACTACAAATAAATTTTTAAAATTAGCTGGGTCTGGTACTGCACAAACTGTGGTCCCAGCTACTTGGGAGGCTGAGCTGGGAGGATCTCTTGAGCCTAGGAGGTTGAGGCTGCAGTGAGCTGTGATCGCACGCATCACTGTACTCCGATCTGGGTGACAGAGCAAGACCCTGTCTGAAAAAACAAAATAGTGTTGGTGCTCAGGTGGGACCTCCGGCACACTGATTTGAGGGCACCTCCACCTGTGCTCTGTAAGTCTCAAAAATGATTCCTTCCTCCAGTGTTTGTTTCATCTGTTTTTGTTGGTTTGTTTTTTGAGATGGAATCTTGCTCTGCCGCCAGGCTGAAGTGCAATGGTGCCATCTTAGCTCACTGCAACCTCTACCTCCTGGGTTCAAGCAATTCTCCTACCTCAGCCTCCTTAGTAGCTGTGATTACAGGCACACATCACGTGCCCACCTGGCTAATTTTTTTCTGGGTATGTAGTAGATGGGGTTTCACCATGTTGGCCAAGCTGGTCTTGAACTCCTGACCTCAGGTGATTCATTCACCTTGGCCTCCCAAAGTGCTACGATTACAGGCATGAACCACTGTGCTTGGCCTGTTCCATCTATTAATTCTACTTGGTAACCTGGGTCCTAAAAGAACGGAATTTCTTCTTTTTCTTCCTATTCCTTCCAGCTATTACTTTACCATGCTTTTTTTTGATCATCTCCAGATTCTTCAAAAAGTAATTTATGCCTGCAGCCTCTTCTTTCTCTTTTGAACTCTGAGCCCCATTCAAAATCTGCCCAGACAACTCTACTTTTGTAAAGGAAAATGCCTTTAGCCAGAAATTTCTTCCTCTTGTGAATTTCTCTGACATTTTATTTCCCTCTCTTACCCCACTTATCCCATTCTGCCTTTCAGAATTGGATTTTGAGTTTCGGGTATATATTTTTTTCTCCCTTATTAAACTAGATGAGGTCATTCATTATTTGTCATTGAAGCACTCCCCGCCTTTAGTCACTGTGCTTGGAATTACTGAATGAACCAATGAATAATTACTGCTGTTTCCATAATGATTGCTGATTTTGGAAGCAGTGTGGTGAGAATTTTCAGCTTTCCAACTCATCCAGATTAAGTTCTTTTCACAGTAGCTTCGTGACTTTGATTGGAGTGCTCCGAATTGCGGAAGCATCAGATGCTTCCATATTCATGTGTAGATGTCAAACCATCTGAAGCCACATGGAATGAATTTTACTTTATTCATTCCTTCCATCTTGCTTCATTTAGTATGGCAAAAGCATGGACTTACAAAAAGATTTTTAAAACCCCCCAAATTACTTGATATGTATATATTTTTTTCATTTTAAAAATGAAATGTTCCTTAATGTTTGAGAAGTTCCATTTTAAGAAGTTGGGAGAAACAGTAAGTCATTAAGCCAGCAAAACTGTTCTGCATTTACTATTGTTTCAGTGAAAGTTTTTTTTTTTTTTCTCTTGCCCTCCCCCCTTTTATAAAAACTCTACATTTTGGTCCTGTATTTGTGACAGTATTATGTGGCAGACTGTCTGACTTGCCTTTGAAATGTATAATTTTCTGCTGAAGAATGCATACAGTTTGCCCCAGACTTCAGATTTCAGAGACTAAAAATCCTCTATTACAAATACACTTGATAATGAATTCACACAAATAAATCCCCTTAAGTTTTGAGGCTTCAGATGATGAGTTGGTGGAAACTTGTGGAGAAGACAGAGCTGACTGATTTGGGGTCTCTTGGTGCTAAAAGACATTTGTGTGGCCAGGAACGCTGAACTCTGATGACAAGACTCATATTGGATCCAACGGGATTTTCCTGTGAATGATTTTGAAAGTCTTAAGTATCATCTATTCTCCCCCTACTCACCCAGTGTTTGATATAAATGTTTGATTTATGGTAATATTAAGTCACTCTGTTAGGAATAATTTCTCTGACTTTCATACCATTTAATAGGAACTCTCTTTAGGTTTCTAAATCCCTCTAAGAACTCAAAGCCAAAAAAAAAAAAAATGCCTTTTGCTTTGTCTTTATGTTGGCCAAATTATACTTTGACTATTAGAATAAAAATCAATATTCATACTCTGAAATTAAAGCTCTTGTTGTATTTCTGCACTAAAGACGTTTTCTAAACCAGGTGGATAGTTTGACAGTGTTTTTCCTTTCTTTATTTTTAGGTTGATGCCTTTCCTCCCAATGGTTATGGCTTATACAACATAGTGGGGAATGCGTGGGAATGGACTTCAGACTGGTGGACTGTTTATCATTCTGTTGAAGAAACACTTAACCCAGTGAGTATTATTTGCAGAGCCTGTATCTTGGAATGGTAGCATCTGTCCTCTGGGCAGTTTGCAACCAGACTTTCATGTGTTTCCAAGAGTTATTTACATACTCTGTAAATTAATATTGGGATTTCCCCAAAGTGACGTTAAGCACATGTTTCTTATTTCAACCTTAGAGCATTTTGTAAAAATGTCTGTGAGTATCTCACCTGCTCCTGGAATGTGATGGTGATAACTACTTGAGGAAATCTGCCTATAACTTTAGAAATTACATTCAGTCTCGTAAGTTTGATCAAAGCATGATATATAAGTAACTATAAAGTTCATTACTGTTTTATTATTAACTGTTAAGGTCTGCTAGATGGTATTTATTATGCATCTAGTGTCTGAGTTCTGATGGGTTGAAATTTTGATTCAGCAGCATTGTTTGGAGAGAATGAGAAAGGGTGTTATCTGGTTAAATGTTGAAGCAGGAAGTTGTGTCATTTAGTGATTAAATCCTGAACCTCTTAGTATGTCAGGCCAATGCATCATACACTTTGGTAACAAAAGACAACTGTGTTTGTCTAAGTTTTACTTATTATGGCATGTGAAAAATGTTGAATGCAAATAGTATACTACCCTGCCTCTAAAACCAAACTACCCAGCAGAATATGTAAAAATTGAGACACTATATGGGCGTGTGTGTGCTTCTTTTAAAAAGAACATCTCTGAATATTTTTTTATGGTGTGAACAGATTGGGGGAAAAGCATCATGCAAAAATCCCATCTCCAGCAAAGTAGTCATTCATAAGTCAGTTCCAAGAATGTATATTTATAACCAAACTAGCTAGACTGGATACTTGATATGCTTAATTTTAAACTGGAACCTTTTGATAAGGCTCAAAGGGTAACGATAAAGAAAATTAATTCTTCAATATCTTCTCAGTGTAGGATTATGGAGCAATTGAAGACATAGACTCTGCCTGAGGCTAATTTTTCAGAATATGGAAGTAAAGTTGTTTGATATGCTTAATTTTTCTTCACAGAATAACATGTAGGCTGCTCATGAATAATCTAGAGAAACAGATCTTTTTTTGGGGGGGTACAGATAAAAAAGCTGAGTTCTTCAGAAACTCTCATCCCTCCTCAGTGTCTTTTACTTTCTGGCAGGGCTGGTGGAAGTAGTGGTCAAAATGAGAATATGGTTGTAAAATTCTAGGTGGGTTTGTGGTTGGGAGATGCCATTTTCTACTGGCAAGATGTGACTTGGCATTTGCTGTCAGAATCAGAAATAGAATTTTTTTCTTCTCGGATAAAAGCATCTGCATGCTTGGAAGGGGGTGTGCAAGGCCTTAGAATGCTGGCAAGTTGTGAATGTATCTATCTGACCATCTGGTGTGGAGCTGAGTGCTTGTTAGCTTTCAGTTTTAGAGTTACTTGTGTTTCTTCTAAGGATTTACAGAAAAATCCACATTTTTCTTTTCACCAATCCCAGACTTTATCCTGGATGTTGCCCTTGCACTAATGAAATTGTTCCCAATTTAGGTTTCTCTTTGTCCCAGTGACTTCCTTTGCTTCCTCATTTGACTGGGATATAATTTAACAGTTTTGAGAACTAAACCCCAAATCCTTGGACAATTCATACTCCATAATTCAGGTCTTTACAGCTTTTCTTTATTGCCAGCAGACAAGCCAAGATCATCCCTCATCTAGGTTACTGCAGCAGCCTCCCAGAGGGCTCCCTGCCTTTCCTTTCTTTGCTATATTGCAACTCGACTGATCTATGTAGAGAGCAAGTCACATGCAGTTACTCCCGTGTTTAAAATCCTTTAATGCCTCATTATCTGAAGAATAAAGTATAAATTATTTTTTAAAAACTTATTTTATCTTTTTGTTGTTGTTGTTATTATTATTTTCTGGAGGGAGACAGAGTTGCACATGATCCCCTAGGCTGGAGTGCAGTGGCTCCTTATCAACTTACTGCAGCCTCTGTCTCCCACGTTCAAGTGATTCTCATGCCTCAGCATTCCAAGAAACTGGGATTACGGGTGCTTGTCACCATGGTCAGCTGATTTTTGTATTTTTAGTAGAAACAGGGTTTCGCCATGTTAGCCAGACTAATCCGTTAACTCCTGACCTTAGGCCCACCTTGGCTTCCAAAAGTTCTGGGTTTACAGGCGTAAGCCACCATACTTGGTCTTATTACTTTTATTTTTAATTTTTGTGGAGATGGGGTCTTGCTCCATTACAGAGACTGATCTCAAACTCCTGGCCTCAAGCAATCCTCCTGCCTTGGCTTCCCAAAGTGCTGGGATTAGAGATGTGGGACACTGTGCCTGTTAGATTTATGCCTATAAATTCCTGAACATGACTTTTGAAGGCTAAAATAATTTAACCCTTGCTGATCTCTCTAGCCACATCTTTTTTCTAAACAATCATGAAATGTTACAGAAATTCAAAATAGTACAGAAAATAGTGTAATAGATAACTCTGTACCTACCACATAGATTTAACATATGTTAACAGTTTACTGTTTACTTTTTCTCTTTTTTAGCCAAAGAAAAAGAACAAAAACTGTTCTTCTCATCAGTGTTTGATATTGTCAGTATGTTTTATTTAAGCTGCTCTGGTCAGTATGCAGGGTTGTTTCACTGTGTTTTTCAGTCATCATTTTTAAAGTTTGTCTGATAACTCTAATATCTGGTACCACGTTGATCTGTTTCATGGCTTTCGGTCACATCTTGTTTTCTCCCAATGCCTGGTTAGTTTTGACTGAGTATCAGACATTTGATAAATTGTGGAGGTTATTTGAGATCTAGATAGTGTGATGTGTCTCTGGAGAGGATTTACCTTTGCTTCTAGAAACTGCTATTTCAGATTAGCTTCAATCTAGTCAGGAATTGAGATTATTTGAAGCAGAGCTTCAGTCCTTATAAGGGCCATTCTATTTCCATTTCCCCCTGGTTATAGTTCTTCAGGGTGCTAACCAAAAGTCTAAGGGTTTTACTATAGATCCTCCACCTCGGAGGGCCTTGACCTCCAGTTTTTTGTTTCCTCAGGCTGTGAGTCTATTGAAAGTTCTGCTCAGCTTCTCAGCCTTCCGTCTGCCATTTAAAGCAACAGTTCACCTTACCTCTCTGGGATTTGAGCCCTGCAATTCTTCACAGCTGTGGTAGTTCTCATTTAGTCTGGTTAATTCCTATTTCTCTTTGAGATCTTAATTTATTTGCTTTTCTTCCCTAATGGACTGTGTATCTCTAGTGCTTAGCAAAGAACCTACATATAATTATTGACCCTACAATAATGCCAATTCCAGATATCTGGAATCGGGGGAGTTTGATGACTGTCCAGACTCCAGATGTTTCATAAGCAGAGGCTGGTTAGAAGAGACATTTTCAGGGAAAGTTAACAAAAATATCTACCTGGTTAGTAAATATTTCAATTCAGGAACTGACCTCTTCTGTTTTGTATTTTTGTTAGTTCTATGACTAACTTATAATGGCAAACAATTTTAAAGCTTCTTTGGAGAGCTTGGGAATAGTCAGTGCCCTGTATGCAAAGGCTATTCAGGAAGTACCTTTTTCTTATTCAGTGATTTCCAGGGAGCAAAAGTTAATCATTAGTTTTTATTTTATTGGGCAGTCATTTATGGCAAAAGCAGGTTGTGGAAACAGCCATGTGTGCTTTGTACACATCTAAGGGAAGATGAGGTATTTGGCCATGTGAAGTAAGGGTCAGCTTGGTGTTAGCTGTGCATGTGTGTGTGTGTGTGTGTGTGTGTCCCTTGTGTGTGTCCTGTGGAGATGGCACATTAAGATAGCATCATTCCCCTCCTCACAGACACAATCTAGTATATGGCCAGATGTATTTTAACCAAATAGTAATGTGGTTTTTGAAAATGTGGTTTGTGGTTATTTACTTTTCAGTTGCCTAAGTCTGAGACCGATATTAATTTGTGGCACTATGTAATGCTTTCAGTTAAAAGAATATGTAGCGCTTATATAACATTCTAATTTCCCACATCTGCATACTCACTTTCAGTACCAAAGTCCCATGCTGACTTGTTGAGCTGATGACGTGACAGGATGGAGCGATCTGTGAGATCCTTCCCTTTCTGTTAGCGACACAGTTGTATTAAGGCAGCTTCTTTTTCTTGGGGAAAGAACTCTAATTTTGTTTTTGTTTTGTTTTACTTGAGACAGAGGCTCGCTTTGTCACCCAGGATGGAGTGCAATCGTGGCTCACGGCAACCTCCGCCTCCTAGGTTCAAGCAGTTCTCCTACCTCAGCCTCCTGAGTAGCTGGCATTACAGGCGCCCATGCCACCATGCCTGGCTAATTTTTTTGTATTTTTAGTTTAATAGAGACGGGGTTTTGCCATATTTGCCAGGCTAGTCTTGAACGCCTGACCTCTGGTGATCCACCCGCTCCGCCTCCCAAAGTGCTGGGATTACAGGTGTGAGCCACTACGCCCAGCTATCAGGGAAAGAAGTCTAATTTTGGAATTAATGAAAATAACTTGGATTATAGCTCTGCCACTTAATATTAAAGGACTGCTGCTAAATTTAGACTATATCTTCAGTTTCCTTGTCTACAAATTGGAAATAATTATACGGGATGAAATTGTGTGAAATTTAATTTGTCACTGTGTATGAAATACTTTGTATCATTCTACTTCCAGAGGACTGTTGTTATTTTACTGTTTTTGTTTATATTATGTTTTGACTATCTAATTATAATATTGCTTACTTCCATCAGCAGAATTAATGAGGAACATTGGCCTTTAGAAGCATAGGGGAAAGAAGGAAAAAAAGCAGAGGGGAAGAAAATGATATTTATAATTAATGATTGCTGATATTGCCCTAACACTTACCTTTTGTTGGCTTCTCACATACTCCTCCTCTCAATGAAAACTTTGCTCATGCTTCTTGGATCATCAAAGTCAGTGGGATCAAAGTTTTCTAAAATGTATTCCTCCTCTGAATGAATCTCTGCTACTTACCAAATTTTAGCCAGAAATTCAGTTTG